CTTGAATGCGGGACAAGCACGCCAAATTTAGAGTATATATTGAAAGCCCAAATCATGTATCGGCCTCTCTTACCTGAATTATGTGAGAAGAGCCTGGCTGGCATAATTAGCTGATAAAGTGTGTTTATCCTGATTGTGTTAGGTTAGTATTGTTCTATTTCATATTCATGTGTACTGGTATGTAGAGTCGTAGTTGTAATGTTATTAAGAAAATGGTAGGACTATAGTGACTATTGTTAATGTTTGAATATGATAACTATTAATAATTTATAATGTGATGTGATTTGTAATTCTTAGCTATGTCTTATGCATTGTATTTATTATTCTCACTTCTAGCCAGTAAAGTGAAATAAATTACACCCAGTTAAGTAAAGTAAAGTGAAGTAAGTTACAGTAAGTAACATTTGGCCAGTAAAGTAAAGTGAAGTAAATTACCCCTAGTAAAATTACCTGAAGTAAAGTAAAGTAGTAAAGTAAATTACATGAAGTAAATTACATGAAGTAAATTACATGAAGTATTTGTAAAGTAAATAACATTTGGTCAGAGTTGTAATAGTTCAATAAATAATATCTGGAACTAAAGTTAGTACAGTTCAGTTAGAGGAAGCGCAGTGACTAGCACGAGAGAAGTCAAAGGAATCAAACAAGACGGTAGCATATACTGTGTGTGTGTAACCAACAGTAAAGTTCAAAGTCGGCACCTACATCCTCGCAGTGCTAGTGGCCGGAGACACTTACACAGTCAAGCCTCCCAACCCCGCAGTACGTTGTGACCCAAGCAGAGGGCTGTTGTGTGTGTGGGACTTGATTATTTGACCAGATCGCCATTGAGAGCCTACTATGCTATAATATTGGACAGTATCTTGTTATCCTGTTTATGTGTATAGTATATGTAATGTGTATGCTGATAGTTCTGTTTTTTATTTAATTGAACATTTATTTGTGGCCTGAACCACTCTTGTGTTATTAGTATAGTTAAAGTATTACTAGACTTGCAAGTGAGAGCTAGTGAGAGTTTTCTTTGGATGATAGAGTGAGTGTGAAGTAGGATTAGTGTAGAATACTTCATCAGGAAATTAATCGTACCCTAGACATAACCATAATAGCAGTACTAATCTAACGTAGAGGAAAGGGACCTTTGTTTGTTTATACAAACATAAACATTTCAACACCCATACTTTTAACAATTGGGGCAGAACATACATAAATACAACACATAGTATGTGACAACGGGGCTGGGCCTAAAATACCCTTACGCCTGGAACAATGCAGCGTGTTGATCCTGTGCTAGACCAAAGTCTAAAAAGCGGATTTCTCAAAAACGATTTATTAGATTTTGAAAATCCATGTACGACTATGTACAAAGAATACAAGGCGTTACGTTGTACATATGTTTTAAAGATCTCTTTTGTAACTGTACAAATCAATGAAAGGGATCTATACAGAGGCATAGTAGGCAATGGGCATACGGCTTTGTGCCGGATAACAGAACAAAGTCGTTTTTTCAACAACGCCCAACGCGTCAAAGACATATGGCCAAATGACAGACTCGAAAGACTTATGGCCAAATGACAGACTCTAAAGACTTATGGCCAAATGACAGACTCCAAAGACTTATGGCCAAATGATAGACTCGAAAGACTTATGGCCAAATGACAGACTCGAAAGACTTATGGCCAAATGACAGACTCCAAAGACTTATGGCCAAATGACAGACTCGAAAGACTTATGGCCAAATGACAGACTCGAAAGACTTATGGCCAAATGACAGACTCCAAAGACTTATGGCCAAATGACAGACTCGAAAGACTTATGGCCAAATGACAGACTCGAAAGACTTATGGCCAAATGACAGACTCCAAAGACTTATGGCCAAATGACAGACTCCAAAGACTTATGGCCAAATGATAGACTCGAAAGACTTGTGGCCAAATGACAGACTCCAAAGACTTATGGCCAAATGACAGACTCCAAAGACTTATGGCCAAATGACAGACTCGAAAGACTTATGGCCAAATGACAGACTCGAAAGACTTATGGCCAAATGACAGACTCGAAAGACTTATGGCCAAATGACAGACTCCAAAGACTTATGGCCAAATGATAGACTTGAAAGACTTGTGGCCAAATGACATACTCCAAAGACTTATGGCCAAATGACAGACTCCAAAGACTTATGGCCAAATGACAGACTCCAAAGACTTATGGCCAAATGACAGACTCGAAAGACTTATGGCCAAATGACAGACTCGAAAGACTTATGGCCAAATGAAAGACTCCTGAAGTCAGTCGTATCTCAAATAACCCGATGATTTTCTCACCTTCCCAATGTTGCATTTTCTTTTTACGCTAATTTCATAATTGAAAGTTGGGTTATGCAAATTGTCTTCAGTCTAACCCAGATAGAATCCTATTTAAGGTACCATATAAGCTTTACCTTAACGAAAAATCTAACATCGCATCTACGGTTAATCTTTTGTTTTTACTATTTGGTATAACGAATCAGCACACATGCGTATGATTATCTGGACAACCAAAGGCTACCTTTGTCAGGGCGTACATTTTAAAAAGGTCGAATATGACCTAATTCTTTGTGATTAACAATAACATCAAATTTCTAAATTAAGATTTTGAAACTCAGCGGGAGCAACTGCGAAGAATGTTAAGAGGTTTAGAGATGGGGTGACATCCCCTCAATTAACCTTGTCGTGAAATGTCTGCTTACTTAGACTTGTATCAGTGATGGTGAAGTTAGGGTGTGATCAAGACCACGTTACCAACCATTAAGACCGGAAATGAGCCTCGTATTCACTTCAGGTGTCACTCTCCCACGAAAATATGAAAACACGTAGTTTGTATATAAGCAAAGATGTCCTTTGCATCAAACGTTTCAATCACTGCTTCATAGGTGCCCTGCCCTAAACTCGCGATCAGATTTGATACAATTCAGTCTTTCTTTTGTAACGGGGTCATGTTTATGTAATGAGTGTACGGCCTGCTGTTATCACTGCTATGAAAAGACGGCAACCGTTTGCTGGTACTTTGTTACTAAATAAATGTAGTCACACACTTAGTAATAGCTTAGACACCCAGATTGATACATTATGTGACATGGGTGCGGTCTGCATTGCCAGGAATCTAGTGGGAGATCATATCTGATAGAAAGGTTACTTGAACGAAAGATGCGAGGATCAACATATTTTGGTGGTCGACAAACCGATGTTTAAAAATAAATGCACTATTGAAACTCGTGGTGTGATACTGGAAAAGCTGGTTTGAATGCGATTAGGTTTTATCTTTGACCAAGGGGGCCATTTCGTGGTGGTGAACATTGAAATTGATTCTGATTATAGATTATCAGTGTTACAGGCCAAAGATCGGGGTAAGCACCCCCCCCCCAAGAGTGGACAGATCTTGGGCAAGGCAGAGAATATAGATAAACTGATAGTGGTGATAATTTAAAGCCATTATACACAAATTGAGACTAGCTCTTTTTGAAAAATCAAAGATATAAAATTAATGTGTGCTAAATGTTTGATCAAAAATATTGCATGACGCAATCGCTAGACCATGGGTTGTATCAGCTAAATAGTCACCATGAGATTTTTGATTGATTGAATACTTAAGTAGCGCTAAGTATCCATGATATTTCAGCATGCTCACTGCGCTCTCATCGATGGCCTCCTGGGCGTCGCAGGGGTTGCTTGAATAATTCATTGTTTCGATGTTTGCCGCCTGTAGGGTACGCCATCTCCGGGTTTGAATTTAGAGTTTCCTTCTCTTAGATGAGTTAACCGACCAAGGTTAACGAGTCCCATCTACCCGGGTTGCTGGTGAAGTAGTTTGTTTTTGTTTTTTTTTTTGCTTGACTGGGTTCTGGCTGGAATTGAACTCACGACCACCAACTTTGAGATTTTGCTCAGTTTAGACCACTCGATTATGTCAAGATTGATAAATAAACTACTGTTTTGAAATTATCAATTAAAATTATATTCAATAAACTATCATGACATAATTATAAAAAGTATCATTTATATACTTCTATCGTGATATAATTTTCAGTATCATAAATAAACAGCTAGATCTATCATGATATTGATTTTAAAAAGTATCATAAAAAACTTCTAACATGTTATACTTAGTAAAATATTATCATAAATAGAATTCGGCTAACATAATATTATTTTAAAAAAAGTAAAATAGATATCTGCTAACATGATATAATTTTGAAAGGTCTCATAAATAAACGGCTAACATAACTTTTTTTTAAAATATTATAAACTCAGCTACGGTAGTCATGGGTTTAAGCCAATTCAAAATTTTCTTGCACATTTAATTTCATCCAAATGTATGCTTCATTTCATTTAAAAAATAATGGGAACTGTGTTTTAAACAATACCAAAAACCATTAAAAAAACACACAAAAAAACAAAAACATGACGAGAATCTGAAGTCCTTGCTGAAGACAGAACCACACTGTAGCCATACCAGAAATGTGTTACACATGGCGACTATACGTTTTGAAAAATTGAATCAAATACAGATAACAACAAAATAAAAGTAATGAGACACGGGATAAATAGGGTGGGGGTGACGCCACCTGCTGTAATACAAAGCATATTTTATGGCATCACTTGCTAAACAATAATAATTTGGGTACTTATTGTTGCCATGTAAAGTAAAGATTTTGTTACCAATAATTTTTATTCAAAGTCTGTACATTGAGTTTGTACACGTATATTAGGGGCGTGGTCAAACGTGCTGAGATAACTGATATTTTTTAACTTATTTATTTATTTGAGTGGTCCTAGTTGGCGTGTTTGGTAAGACAGCTTTGTGTGACAAGCCATGACTATCATGTTTCTATAGGTTCTTTTCTCCAAAGATAATCCCAGGTATGAATACACCAGATTACATCCCCCCTCCCTGAGCTGTCCTCCCACTCCAAAATGTCAAATTACGACAACGACTTTTTGATCCGTTTTGTAATTTTGGGGATATCAGAAAGGAAATTGGACAAAAAAATTGTAAAGACCTTAAGAAATACATGTTAGATAATAACTTGATGGTGCCTGTGTGGGCCCCACCCCTACCTGGTGACCACCCAACAATGGTGTGCCTGATTCAAGGTACTCCCACAACTACTTAAAGTTAGTGCACACCATTTATTAACCTGTTACGAGACCACAGTCAGCCAAACCAGCACCATCGAGAGGAGCTACTACTTCGTAAGTAACTCCAATACTCTATCGAAACGTATAACTTTCAATGAAGAAAATTTTTATGACTACAATTAGCTTTGCAAAGGAGCTGCTTTACTCTTCTAAATGCTTGGAAGTATATAAACATATGCTATGTAGTAATTTTTTATCCACTTCCTTATTTTAAATTTTCAACATAGACATTAAAAATACTATTATGTTTAAATATAGATTATTTTAAGTATTTTAATTGCGTTTACGCTTAACAGCAAATTTAGTGTTCTAATAATATACATTTTGGATACCTAAGGAAATATACGGTGTGTTCATGCCTGATTGTGATTCGTCTGATAGAAGAAAGACTAAGAGAACGAACTTTCGCTTCAGATGATGGTCACCATGGGGGTCAAAATGTTTTGGACACTGGCTCTTTTCGTTTTTAGCTGCTCATCACAATCTCAAGGTAACACGTGATCGAGTCATTAGTGATTTCAAAAATAGGATGATCGTCATCAAACAAAGAAGTCATACATTTTAATTGAAGAAATTGCGTCATTAAATAACGAAGTCATACATTTTAATTGAAGAAATTACGTCATGAAATAACGAAGTCATATATTTTAATTCAAGTAATGACGTCATCAAATAAGGAAGTCATAACGTTTCATGTTCATCTACGAAAAACGAAATTATAAATTTTCATTTACGAAATGGCATGCCTTCAATAATTTAAATTTCTAGAATCAAGAAATTGCGACATTCTTTAACTTTCATTGTTATATTTAATTTTAAAAAGACACCAATCATTTAGTAGGACAATTCCAAGTTAGGGTTAGGGCTGGAGTTTCATTTCTATAGTACTATAATTATGTTAAATAAGATACATTCTTATAAGACAATAAACGTGTGAATACCGTATCGGATCTGGACATTATCACAACATATTCAATTTCCATTTCAAGTGAAATCTACTATCCCATAACACTTTCTATTTTCTTTGACATATTAATCATTGTGGGCTTTAAGCAGTATTAATATTAATTATTTTAGATCGAATTCATCAGAGGATTTTGAAAACCACTCAGCAGTCGTAAAAGAAAACACGAATATTCAAAAAATTTCTTAAAACTAACAAAAGGAGGATGAATTGTTTCATTTTTTTTTTTTAAAGTACTCACGGTAACATTTGTTAATTGTCAGACGGCTCGCCTTCTTTAAAAAGATCAACTATGATTGCGGAAAAAACACACAATTTATTTTACCAGTCCAGTTACATTAGGCTGTTGGGTTATTTTGTTTTAATCTTTTTATTTGATTTAACAAAAATTATTGTGACTTTAAAAAATACACAGTTGCATTTACCAGAGAAAAGATAACACGTCTTTATCTTGGAGATGTACAGAAATCGGGCTCAACAGTGGCAGGTCGTGTTGTCATTCAAATCAACAATGAAGGCGTTGACGGTGCCATATGTGGGACATGGACCAGAGGAGAGGCCGTTACTGCATGCAGGATGTTGGGTTACAAGTCAGTAGACACATATCTATTTGTATTTATGTTTACATATTCCTATGTCTTTTAAATTTATGTTTATATATTTATATATTTTGAAATAGTATAATTTGAGACAATGATTTTCAGTACCTATGACTATCATTGCTGTAAAACTATTTAAATAATTGTTCAATCAAATTGGATTGAAGTGAATAAGCTACAGTTTTCATTCTTCTACAATTCGTTATCAAGAGTTTCTGATGCACTTCTTCTTCTTATATTAGAGGGGCCCACGATCAATTTGTTGATCATTCTGGCTCCTGGTTTAAATTCAGAGGTTGCCTTCTCTTAGATGGGTTGCCGTCCAAGGCTTACGGGTCCCATCCACCCGGGGTGCTGGGATTGAACTCCAGACCACCAAATCTTTGGTTTGAAACAGTTTAGACCGCTCGGCCACCAACCACTTTACCTATGTTTGAAGTTTCTTTATTCTAAGATATTCGTTTGATAATTAGATACATATCTATTGCACTAGAAATTGTTAGCTTAAAAATTAAGTCATTGTACATCAAATATTTCTTACCGGTCATCATACTTTAAAATTAACCTCAATTCACACTTTAGGAATTTGCTTAGAGTATTCTAATAAGAAATTTTTACAAACTTCATATAATGGTATGTATTTTTACTCTCTTTACATGAGCTTGCTCAAAGCTCACTGTTCATAATTATCCCTTATTACTCGAGTCTTGTAATAATTACTTAATACTCGAGACTTCTAATTGTTACTTAATACACTAATCTTTTAATTACCACCTTTTTCATTTAGTGATGGCAACAACATACCATTGAACGCTGCGTTCTTACATGACAATCATAATTTTCTCATAAGTAACCTGAGATGTACTGGTCATGAGACATCACTCTCAGATTGTCTTAGGGATCCAATTGTTAACTGCCCGTACGACGTAAGTTTTAACAGGGTTTCGGATGATCTCACTAGAGTAGCTTTGGTACCAAACACATCTTCCTCAGCCGGATATCACTAGATTCGTTTTGCACTTCTCCTCAAAGGGAACTCAATTGATCAGCTTTTGCGCCACACAAATCTTTTGCACAAAACAAATCTAAAAAAGGTAAAATATAACATATGATGATTTTTGTAATGCCTTGACTAGTATGTTTCTTGAGACGCTTTGGATTAGAGAATATATCACAATTGAATTTAAGTGGTATAAATACACCCACATTTTATTGCTGTTTATTGTGAATAAAATTGAACTATTTCCCAAAGTCAAAGCTGTTCTTCAGTGGGGAAAGCCGTGCCCCATTACAATTACAGATGTATAGGGCTTTATACTCGTAAAGGTCAAAGTCAAAAAGACTTTTAGTGACGCGAAAATTAGCTTTAAAAGACATGATAGATAGCTCACCCGCTGCCAGATGTCGTACATACGGAGACAGAACGCCAACTCTTTGACAGGTATACTGAACATCTAAAGTCATAACACGCCAAGATAAACAGTGTCCAGTCTCTAAACACTTCAATAGTAGCGACCACCAGGGCAAGGCGGACTTTTTAATGTGAGCGATCTTTGCACGCGTGAACGCATCCAGCCGGGTCAAGTGGAACGCATGCTTATCCTGACGTATCGCACTTTGACATCACATGGCATTAACGTCATGTCGCCATTCACAGCTTAAGCCTAGCACCACCCCTTCAAGTCACGACCTACCGAAGTGCGCAAACTTCTCCTCTTTTCTTTCCATCTTCCCTATTTAATCCTCATCCACTTTTTTTCGGTCACAACTCTTTGGCTACCTTCTCAGACACTACTTCTCAGCTAAGTGCTATATTTTTAAAAAAAAAAAATGTACATTTTATTCTGTTTTTTCTGTGTTTTTTATTCGCTGACTAAGGCTTCCTGCGGACACTTTCGTTGTTTTGTTGCGTTCTTTTTTCACGTATAGCCATTTTTTACTAATTTCCTCAAAAACACCAGCACAAAAAGATTGATAATCTTCTGTTTTAAGCAAATCTAATTTTATTTTTGTCCAACTTTCAGACTCATAACGTTGTTGTGTCCTGCTCCAGTCCTGGACCAAACCCAGTCGATGCATACACCTCTGGCTTTGCTGTCCTGGCTAATAGAGTGACACCAGCACCATTGGCGAGTCACACAGATATTGCTGACTACACAAACTGCCCAACACGTATGTTTTGTTATCTTCGTTACTTACATTTCTATTAGACATGCTAGGAGACAACAAGAAGGGGGGGGGCTAACGAAAATGACCAGATGCAGAGGAGAGTTAAGTGATTTGTTTTTACGCCATGCAGCAATTGGATGATTCAAATTTTCGGACATCAAGTACAACGCTGGCATGAAGTAAAAGTCCATCTACTTGTCCTTGTCATTTGAACAGGACATAAAAAAACCTTTGTATTATCACTGTTACTCACATTTTAAACAAATAAAATAAACAAGACTGAAACAGTCAAAGTTTTAAAATACAATCTGAATATGAGTTTTGTTTGATCGATGTTGAGAGTATTTAAGGAAAATATAATTCAATGTGTCGGTGCTTCAACTGGTTTAATAAATCGTCAGTATGACTAGTCATACATTATTAAAGTAATCTTTGGGTTCTTAAACATTTATATAGGCTTTCTTTATAAAAATACATTTGACTTATATAAGAGTTGGGAGTTTCTATCTAACTTTAAAAAAAAAAAAAATGCGTGATTAATTTAGCATGACTATTTGGACAACAAAATGTTTTAGAAATGCAGTTTTTAGACATTCTAAAGTGAATTCTATGAATAACTTATTATGTAACGATATATTCTTTGTTTCTTTTATTTATTAAAACAGCCAATCAAAACATCAGGCTCCGCGGTGTTATTGGGAGGCCAGGTATGGGCTATGTCCAGGTGAATGTCAACGGTGACTGGCAGTACATTTGTGATGACAAGTGGAGCGAGAACGATGCTAAAGTTGTCTGCAGGGAGCTTTGCTACAAGTAATTATTGCATACTTTTAGTGTGTGTCAGATACACGCATAAATTGACTGACGATATTCCATAAACAATTCTATTTAAAGCTAATTTACACAGAGTTGGCTTAATGAAACATAGCAAATTTGCTAACCCATTTCAGCATTTTAAAATATATGATTGGAATCAAAATGTGATACATATAAATTTTAACATGACGAAATATTGGGATATTGCTACACTTATTCATATGAGAATAATTTTGATTTTGCCGAAAATTATAAAGGTGTATGGGGATATATGGGTTATGGATTTGTGAGTTGACTATTTGAGGGCATTTGTAAAATAGCTAATATATGGCCTTAAATATCTGATGTCTCTTCCTTTAATTACTTCATACCGAGAGAAACATTATTTTGTATTCTGCAGTGAACCAACCTGTGCCCGTCCTGGAGTAGAGAACGAATATAAACCCGCCCTAGGTCAATCGCCCGTCTTTGCATGGAACAGGGTCCAGTGCACAGGAATTGAGAACACCTTGGATGCTTGCACCAAAGACAGCACCACACCACAAGGACAATGTGGTCCATATGAGATGGCTGGGGTACAGTGTGTTGTGCCCTTTGAGGCTTCTGCTGGTAAATTTAAACATAATTTTATTAAAGCTTTTATTGCGTGTGGCGTAAGACAGGCGTGGCGGTCCTCTTCGGGTGGAACGTATTTTTTAAAAACTTGATGAGTGGCAAAGAGTTACATAAATTTGTTAAAACTCAAAATGGCCGAGCAACGCAACAGTGACATGGACTTCTTGAATAAATTAGAGGTTTTGATGTCTGATAATGAGCTCACCGACCTTTAAAAATTATAAAGCTAAACTCATTGCGTGTTGCTTTCATTGACACAGCTATGAACGCTCAACTTGAATGTGGCAACTTAAACGGAGACCCCGTCCTCCACTTCCCACGTGACAACTTCCCTACCATAAACGGATTATAAAGCTAAACTCATTGCGTGTTGCTTTCATTGACACAGCTATGAACGCTCAACTTGAATGTGGCAACTTAAACGGAGACCCCGTCCTCCACTTCCCACGTGACAACTTCCCTACCATAAACGGCAACAGCCTCAGACTCGCCAACGCACCAGCGGGCTGCACCGCACGAGCTCAGAGAGACCAGCAGACTGGGAGTTATAACCTGAGAATCCCCACACAAGGTTGTGGTACAACCAAGTCTGTGAGTGTTTAGTTTTACTTGGTGATCTTTAGTTTAGGCATTTCTTACATTGAAAAACAAACCATTTGACATGCGATTTTTATTATCTGTATATCTTACTTTGTGGTGAAGGTGATGCTCGATTGATATATATTGGTTTTAATGATATCACTTTAAACATACTTTACAGTCTTAAAGGTTTTGAAAAATATGCTAAATTTGTTTTAAGTAAAATCAAGAAAAAAGGGACTCTATTTGTTTTATCTACAGGACAATGGTTCACTAATTTGCTACAGTAACACGGTGGAGTATGACAATGAAGTTTATACAGGCAACGTTCTGTTGGACTACAAGAAGAAAACGTAAGTCGTTTGTTGGCTTATATAGGTCTATTGCACACATCTTTTACTAAGTGTTTGCACTCCTTATTCAATATATTTATATAGCTGGTGTTGACAGCCTAGTAACGTTACAGATATTAAAGAGATGTGGTGCTGATGATAAAAAAAGAAAAAAAAAACTTCTTCTATACAAGAGGTTACTGCCTGTCATTAGCTAAGTAACAAGCTAAGAAACCAAGTAATCAGTTCAGTAGCCAGCTAAGTAACCAGCTAAGTAATCGCCATGGTAATAAGTATTTATTTATTTATTTATTTAGGCATTTTTATATAGCGCTTATCATAAAGCTCTAAGCGTTTTACAATTATTAAAACATGTAAACTAAGTAAATACAAATGAGACACTAGGATAGTAACTACTATACTATAGAAACAATGAAAATGGCTGTAAAACGAGGACACTTTGACACTTTGACACTTCAGGATCAACCCGAAGCTAAAAATAGAAATCGAATATTATCTAAAACGAATGAAATGAATTTATTTTCTAACTAAAATTTATTTTTCACTTTTATATGATTTCGTAAATTCCCCACCCCTCCCTGTTTTTAATTTTAATAAATAAAATAATTGAAAATGTAATATTAAAATCTACATTAACATAGCTTGCTAAGTTCAGTTTGATATTTTCGTTGCTTTTTCTCATTCATATAAACATATAATTCATAAAGTTTCACTTCACTTCATTCATAGTAAATCATTTCATACCGAATCTCTTTCACTGAAAGTTTCAACATAATATTGTTAAACTACAAACCAACCAAACTTTAATTCCTCCCACCTTAGCTTCTCAGTAAGCTGCTGTATGCCAACTGAAAAGGACGTCAGCATTAAGTTCATCCCCAAGACCCAGGAGTACGCCCAGAGCATGAGTCAATACTTTGACTACACGGTAAACGTTCAAAGTTGTAATATGAAGTCTTTGATTTGTTAGTCTACCATACGTATGAATTATGGCTTTAGTTTGCCATTACCATACGTATAAACATTGGATTTAGACTTCCAAAAGACGTTTCATTTAAATCAGATTTAAATTTCCAAAAAAGATTATTCAGAGGATAACAATGTGCTGCAAAGTGTAATACTATTAAAGTTATTTAATCACTCATGTCTTTGGTTAATATCCCTAATTCATACTAGTGGACTTTTTACGAAATACATTTTCAACGTAATCGAGGTAAAATTGTACATTAATTAATTAATGTTTATTTTAAATCTTAAGAATTGAACAAAATTCCGGTTATGATAGTTAATTGTACATTTGATAAGAAATACTGTTAGATTCGATGTCTATTTAATTGTTATGCCCTGGACAGCTCATTATTTTCTAGCAGACATCTTAAGGTAGAAACTATGTCTTGGCAGCATGGGCACCCGTAGAAAACTTTCTGGGGGGGGGGGATCAATTAACTTTCCAGGGTGGGGGGCAACATTTTTTTAGTAATGTTTTAATGTAGTTTTAATTTACTGTAGCGTATTTGTATGGTGAACGAACGGACAGGACATCAGCTTAGTTAATTTCTCTTTATTTTCTCTTTACTTCAATACATTTTTTGTCTATTTTTGTCAAAAAAATTTTAATCCAATCAATCAAGGGGGGGGGGCAAGTGCCCCCCTTGCCCCACATGCGGGCGCCCATGCTTGGCAGACATCTTAATATAGTACCTATTGCCATATTCTCCACAGCCGGAGATCAGCTTCTACCAGAACGAGAGATGCGATATAAAAATCACTCAAGACCCTTACGCTGTGGAGGTCGGTGATTGGGTGTACATTGGTGTCAGTGTCAAGGCCGAGGACCAGTCCCTGTTTAGAGACAGCGATCTGAAGCTGGTTGTCACACGTTGTACCGCCAACCCAATCAAAGGCGTTCCTGATAGCACCTTCCCTGAAAACGTGACACTGATTGACAACAAGTAACCGAGGACCAGTCCCTGTTTAGAGACAGCGATCTGAAGCTGGTTGTCACACGTTGTACCGCCAACCCAATCAAAGGCGTTCCTGATAGCACCTTCCCTGAAAACGTGACACTGATTGACAACAAGTAAGTGGTTGTGGGATAAAATAAATAATTACGGAAGCCTTTAAGCAGATTCACACTCAAAAAGACACAATTATACACAATCTATTTATAATTTAAATTAATAAAATTCTTTACCATTTCAATCTATCACAAATTATAGTCTCTTTTGTAAGGGAACAATCCCTAAAACCAATTTCTCAGGAAAAATCTTAACATAAAAAAATTAATAAATAAATAATAAAGAAAGAAATAAGTACCAACTGTTTTTTTTTTTCGGTTATCACACAACTAAGCTGTTATTGAACGAATGATACTTAAACGGAAGTAAGTAAAAAAAAAGTGTTTTCTTCAACATAAAAATTTCCTCACAGATGTCTATACTGATAGTTGATTCAGAATAATTTTTTTTTAGCTCAAATTGCCCCACCGTGTCCATTTAATAACATGTAATTTGCGTAGCTAGGTTAACTCAGGGATATCACCGCTAACACGTGTGTCGTACCATAATTATAAACATTTACTAACATTGGTATTTCACTTCTCCATCGCTTTATTTGAACTAGATGAACAAATATTGTGATTTTAGGAATTTCTAAATGAAGGCCATTTTGTATACACTATTTTTTATAATTAAAAGCTTTCTTAGATTGATTTAGGGAATTTATAATTGTCATACTGTTAACTGAACTTCTTTTCACTTTAAATTCAGTTATTGAACATCGCACATGACAATCTCCAAAAAAAAAAAAAACATCAACTCATATGTACTCACTAAACGAGACAATCCTCCAACAAGTATCCAATAGTCACCCCATATAAAATTTTTTTTTTAAAAAGCCAACTCTACTCTAGATTTAATCCGAAGAAATCTGCGCCACTGCCCAACTTCCTGCATACGAAATGCCTATATCGCACTCGTCCATACCCTCCTGGAAGATGGTGCTATCATCTGGGACCCACACCTTAAGCCAGATGTGGACAATATGGAGCGAATTCAACATAATGCGGTGCGTTTTATCGCTCGAGACTACAAATCCACCACTCCTGGCTTCGTCACTGGCCTCTTTAAAAAATCCACTCCTGGCTTCCTCACTGGCCTCTTTAAAAAATTTGACACCCCCCCCCCCCCTTTAAAGACAGAAGAGTGGGACTCCGCCTGATATTCTTATATAAAATAATCATGGGACTGGTGCCGGCCATCCCAGGAGGCACGTACCTCGCCCACAGAAGCCGGGTAGACTGATCAGAGCAAAACGCTCACTGAACACTGACTGCACCACTGACATTCCCATAAACAATTACACCCGAAACAATAGCAAATGCTTCAAAGTGCCTCAGGGCAACACAGTGCAGTATCAACAATCTTTCTTCCCACGTACAATAATAGCATGGAACCACCTGAACGATGCCACTGTGAACTCGACATCGGTCGAAAGCTTCAAGGCTGCCCGGGCATCGACTAGGAGCTGTTAGAATAGCAACATCATGTCCCTAAAACGTTGCAAAGATGCCAGTACATGGATGCAGCAACGAAACATTACCAGAACCAGACACTTGCCGTCATTTAAACTCTTGAAAAATTGTTCATTAATCTATCTGACATCCGCTTCAGTACAATTCTCCAGGTTCTGTAAATTTTCGCTAATTTATCAGATATCAGTTTCAGTATAAGTCTCCAGGTTCCAAAATTTAAGTTTTCTTGTTTATTTTTAGCGAGTTGCAAACGTAAATTGTTGTACGAAAAATTGTTAGCAAAATTTCACCATACTTGTAAGAAGTATTATTATTATTATTATCATTATTATTATACGTGGTTTGATATAGTGCGGCACCCCAACCTAGGGCTGGGCTCACCACGCTGTACATACAATTTAACAAACATAATCAAAAAAACTTAAAAAATAATTAACATACATTAATGAAATAAAACAAAACAAATGTATATTTAAAACTATTTACATGTCAAGCCATGGACGACACTCAGGAGCATCATTTCACCATTTCATTAAGAAGTATTATTAGCACCATTTCACCAATATTGTCTAAGAACTATAATAAGCATCATTTCACCGTTGCTCTTAAAATTGTTTTTTTTTTTCCCATTGTAGATGTCCTGCAGATATTGCCAGTGTCACCACCTACCCGATCAGCAACACCACTGAAGGTTTTCGATTCAGGGCTTTCAAATTCTTCGGTTACTCCTCTATCTACGTCACATGTCACCTTCGCGTCTGTTTATCTACGGACACTAAGCCCCTGTGTGATAGGTGAAATCTGTACAACTTATATGTTAATAATTATATAGACATATAGTTTCAAAGAGAAAACATGGATAGCGAAATTGTCGTTTTTTTTTAAAATTAAAAGATACCTCATTAATTTAACACACCTTATTTACTTTAATGTCGGGCTTCTCATGTCAAGTTTTATTTCAAATGTTTGATATTTAACAACTAAACACATTTTAATGCCTTATTTTAGAAATATGGTTACACACACCCCCCCCCCACACACACACATTTTAGACTTACTGATAACATCTATTTTAGTAATTGATACACATTTCATATTGTTCATAAATCTGTGGAACTGTATTTAAACATAGTTCTGTTTCATCGTTTCTCTCTCTCTCTCTCTCTCTCTATCTAGATCATGCGCTCAAAATAACATCGGACGTAAGAGGCGTAACGTGGCTGAAGAAGTCACTGGACTGGACACAGTTGTCTCCCAAATTTTACAGATCACCGACCCCAAGCAGCCCCCAGTGAAAGCACTGCCTGCCCAGTCACACGAAGACAGACCCGTTGAAAGCATCAACCCACGTTTCCTTAAGCCTTAAAATTGTCAAGGCTGACCTAGTTATTTATATCTCGTGTATCTTGGAATCCGCGAGTTCGGAGCATAGTTAATTTTGAGCAGATCTGAAAGTTGTCACACGTTAAGATAAGTCTAATATCTATATTATTTCAATTGTTATAAAACAAACAAAAAAGACAAACAACTGAAGTTATATTTCAAGGCTGACACTTATCCCAATAACAATATTCGCTTTAAAAAACAATTTTTATGATATTTAAAAAAAAAAAATTGATTTGTATGTTTTATAGGATTTTAATCAATTAAAAAATAAATAAACCTCAAAGTGAAATGTATACATATATCTTTTAAATCATGACAACTGTAATGTTACACAATATTTATTATACTAGCTATTATGCCCGACGTTGCCTGGGTGTGCATTCGCAAAGAAACTTAAACAGCCACTTAGCTTAAAGTGAATTGAGAGGTCTTAAAATATATATATATATATATAATTTTTCCTCATTTATTCAACTTTGGTAAACATTTTGTTCCCCGACGGTGATCCCGTTCCTCGATGGAACCACAACTCCATTGAGATTTCAATCCCGGTTGGATCACCATTCTAGACCTGCCCTGAATGATATGGATCTTATTAATTTAAAAAAACAATCGCTATACAGCCCGAGAAGGGTATTGTTACCAAGCTAGGCCTACACCCATCAATGCACAAGGAGCCAAAAGTATGGTCTAAGCCCATTGGCATTTATGTATCGATTATTGATATTTTGAATTAAGTACCCTTAGATTTTTTAATTTATAAAGATGATAATGTGTATGTGAACAAAGTTTTATCAAGATCCATACATTCATGTACTAGTATGTTTTACTAATTTTATTTATAAAGCTGATATAAAAAACGAATTTAATCTTTCTCTCCAGAATAAATTTCCACGTTCTGACGGAATTATCTATTTTGCGACTTTGTTACCCTCTACTATGTTATCTCAAAATCATCATAACTTTTTTTATCTTTTCAGAAAATGTTACGTTTGGTGTGGAATAAAAGGGGAATGCATGTTCTTGACAGGCATTAAAGTATTAGGTTTAAATTTTAATATATAAATGTGATTATTATATAAGGATAATAAAAATTTAAAAAAAAACTCACCAAGTCACACGAAGATAAATTTATAATCCAAAGTGTAACAATTTTTTTAAAACATATCCATATGTGCATCACAAATAATCAAGCTCAACTTTTAAAAAAAAGGAAAAATGAAACACCAGAGCACATATCCATTGTCACCGCTACACACAAAATGTTCGGAAAAAAAATATTTCTATTAGAAACAATCTTTTGCTGTTAGACGAAATTTGCATTGTATCCTTGAACGTACTAATAGTTATTTTGATAAATGGATAAACTTTCCATCAATGTGTCATATCTCTTCATCTGGATTTAGCTATGGTAAGCCTGAAAACAATCCATATGGATGGGCGGATAGATTCAGATCCAGCAACAAGTATACAAGTACAGTTGGCCCTGTTCTGTCATTTTTGCACTCATTCATTTTTTGAGCTAATAGTAATAGGCACATGTTTAGCTCCAATAAGTCTTGTTGGAGTATTGATTTTAATTCTGTAGGAGGCACTCATTTATTGAGAGTGCAAGCTTGTGAAAAATGCATGTGTCTAGCAAAAAATTTAAAAAACAATTTAAACATTAGTCAAGTTCATTTGACTTACTAGTCGCAATACAGGCTCCAAATTTATCTAGACCAACATTCTTCAAAATATAAAAATCTGAATTTGCCCGCCGTTTTAGAGGTAAGATCAGCAGCTTTCCTTTTAGAATTGACATTATTCGTGGTAGGGACAGTGTTAGCACTTCTAAAAAACACCTTAGCTGGGGGCGGCGCTATTTGTTGATCAGCTGATGCATTATCAGTTTCAATAATTTCATTATTTCGTCACTAGTACTACTAACACAACTACAAAATTCATCAAAATCAGCCTCTGTAACCGAAGTCATAAAATGACTGTCGGAATAGTCATTAGAGTAATATTTTCGAACTTTATTAGATAGATCACCAGATATAGGGTCAGGTCAAGATGTCATGTATGTAAACAAACATAAAACGGACAATCAAAACAACAGCCTCAAACACCTCGTTCTATGTTTAAAACTCGATGAATAAAAAAAAATTCGAATGTTTTTCAAAAGGAAATCATTCTAGATTTGAATAAATGAAACTAAAAACCAATATATTAAAAAAAGAAACGAAGTAAACAAGTTTCTCTGCATCGATTGTCCTATCGTCGAACCGTCCGTAGCTTCATTTACAATCGACGATGGGAGCGTTTTCTTCTTACCTGACTGGCAAGTCTCAGCTTATTGTAGTGAAGCTGGCATCTTCCATGGACACTTCGGTTACCTGCGGTGTGCCAAGGGGCTCAGTTTTAGGACCTTTTCTTTTCTCCGTGTACACTAGCCAGCTCGACAAAAATTTTTGAAAGTCATGGTATTTACAGAAAAATATTTGCAGATAACACAAAACTATTCTAGTGTTTCCACCCTGATCCTTTGGAGAGTGCTGCTGCTGTTCAGGCTGTCGAGGACTGCTGTCTTGCTGTGAAAGAATGGATGTCATCAAACAGACTAAAATAAAATGATAATAAGGCTCAGGCAATTTTTTGTGGTTCAGACGCAAATCTTCGGAAAGTTTCCATCGCATCAATAAAAGTTGGTGAATCAGACATCCCGTTCTCCTCCACTGTCAGAGGCCTTGGCTTTTATTTTGACAGTAAATTTAGAATGATTTCCCATATCAGCTCTGTAGTCAGGACATGCATCTGTCATCCGCGCACCTTGGGTCAGCTGCATCCTCAACTCAAAAAAGAGAAGCCAATGATGTAGCGGTGACTTGAATCCAGTCAAGATTAGATTACTGTAACATCTATTTGTGGGGTTTACCTCAGAACCAAAATCAGAGAATCCAGAGGGTACACAATACTGCAGCACCCATTTTATCGTGGATAAACAAATCTGACCACATCACCAGAGTTCCACAAGATCTCCCTTGGGTTAATGTGAGTGAGCGCATTAACTACAAAATTCTGTCCCTGGCATACAGCTGCATAGCAGGCTCTGCACTGGAATATCTTAAAGAACTAATTTATAAACATGTACCCTTAAAGAACCTGCGGTCTTCAATACAGTTCTTACTGAAAATTCCCAGTGTGGATAAACACAGAAACTATCTTACAGAATTAACGATTTTGAAGCAATAGCTAAAGTAGCGTGGATAACAGCGCCATATAAATATCCCATCAATCAATAATAATAAAGTTTATTTCAAAAACATGCTTCATCCCCAAAGGCTCGAAGCACGGTACAAAGTCAACAATAAACAAATCTATAATTTATCACATTTAAAACAAATGCAACACTGCAAAAACTAATCACAAGCATACCAAGTCAAAGTCTTTCTAACCATTTCAACCATAAGCAACACAGCCATTATGCATTAACTGGAAAATATGGTAGACAAACATCTCAGAAGGTGTTTGCGAAATAGATGTGTCTTTAAATCTGTTTTAAAGGACTCCAGTGTCTGGTTGTTTCTGAGATCGACAGGAAGGGCGTTCCAAATTGTTGGGCCAGCAAATGCAAAAGTGCGCTTTCCGTAAGTCTCAAGGCGAACACGTGGTGTCGAGAGTTTGCTACTATCGGATGAGCGGAGCTCTCTAGTGGGTACATAAGGCGTCAGCAGTTCTTTCAGATAGGACGGCGCCAGGTCATGTAAGCAGCGGTAGCACAACGTTGCGATTTTGTACTCTATGCGAGCACGCACCGGCAGCCACTGCAACAATATTTTTAGTAACGACTAATAAGTGTATTTCTACCAAGCTTAGCCTAGATCCATTAGTTCACATATAACCGGTCTAACCCTATTAGTATTTATAAAGCTTAATTAAGAAAAATAAAATGGCCCCCCGCCCAGCCCCATGGATTATATATTATGAGTTGAGTTCGTTCGGTACTTGACAATGGATACGCAAGTGTATATACTTCCATTTGGTCAGGAACCATCCATTTGTCTATTGTTATTTATTTATGTTACTCATACTTTCATATTTAAATTGTAGTCTAAGCTTTATTGCTTATATAAGGGAAAAACGAATTGTGGGCCCCTAGCCCCAAAGAGAAGGTTATAAAATTTCAACAATCGCTCCATTTTTTTATTCTAGATAATCAAGGACATAGGTGGTAAGTTTGGTAAAATCAATCAATTAAAACGTAGCCGGAACAAACAAACTCACTAAAACCATCTTTATACAAAAAATACTCATTTAGAATTATCTAATTGAAATCAATTTTAACTTTTCAAACAACATGAAGATTTGTTATAAAATACAAGTCATGAGACAATTAATTAAATTATCATATGACCTGGCAACTATTATAAATTAACTCATTAAATCATTTAAACATAATGATGCCAATATTAAATTAGCATACCACAAGACAACACATTTATAATGCCAATTACAAAATGCAAATTAACAAAACAACTAATTATAAGAAATTCATCAAACAACAAGAACACTAATTAGAAACCATCAAACAAGAAAGGTGGATTATTAAAACAAATTAAAATTCAATTAGAGGATATCTAACCCTTAAGTAATCATTTTACTTCTTTTTTCTTTATGAAGAAATCTTTGCTGGAATATTAATTTTCCCCGACGTTTTATTTCTCCATTATAATGTACTAGCAAAATACCCGCGCTTCGCAGAGGAGAGCCTTTTTTAAAGAAAAAAAAGTACAAAATTAACAAGTATCGGCATATTCCGAAAACTTTACCATGCATTCCCTTGCGGAAATCAAACCTGCCTCGAATCAATGCCAACTTTTTGTAGGGTCTGCCTTTGGGACCGCGATCCTGGTAAGACCCTAATTCTAATGAGTCCCTAATCCCATTCTGAACCCGATCCCAGCGCAATCCCTTTTCCATATTTATGCCGTTCCCGGTGGAATCATATTTCTTCTTCTTCTTCTTTATTTCGAGGGCCCACGATCAATGAATTGATCATTCTGGCTCTTATGTTTCAGAGGGGTTCGTGATGTTACTGTGCATGGGTTTCAATGGGATACTTCACTGGTTGCAAGGGCGACTCAGCAGTGGTGTTACGAACTGGGAGTTGCAATACAGGAGGCAATAGACACAAATGTGTCCAGTGTAGGTGCCTCAACTGTTGCCTTTGGAAGCTTGTTCCAGTCCCATATTGTCTTTGTGGCTCCACATCCAGGGGGAATCCAGATCCCGTTTGGATCCTGATCCCATCCGCATCTTGATCCCAGTGAGATTCCAATGCTCTACCGATCCCGTTAGGATACCGTTCACTGCGGGATCCCGTTCCACCTAGGGACTCTTTTCCGATGTTATCCCTTCTCCTGATAGGATCCTGATCCTGGTTTGAGCCCGTTACCCAATGGGATCTCGATGGTATCCTGTTCCCCGATGGAAACGCGTAACCGATGTGTCCCATTAGGATCCTGTTTCTCTATGGGATCATGTTCAGTGCGACTTTCTTTGAATAAGCTTTTAGATCTAATTATATATCCCCGTAGATCAATATAGAGCATTCTAGATGAAATTTAATATCCTCCATGAAATTTGTAAAAATTACCTATCTACGTAATTTTTCTGTAATGCGAAATATTATAAAACTAAATGGTGCTACTAACTACAAATTCATTTAAATTGAAATGGTGGCCCCGTTAAGGGCCCATTTAATAAAGTACCGTTTTGTTTATGTTTGAGATTGGGAGGGGCTTATAAAAATCATTGAGTTTATTCTACATTTAAAACTTTTCCTGTTCAAAGAGCTTTACAAATGCCATCGACATATCTTTTTTAAACTATGGAAGTTTCTAGAAAATTCTAGATCGGCCTTGAATGGATTGAATATTAAATCAAACTATATTTTAAAACGGACTAAGAGGTATTGCAGCAAAGCTGGGATTAGATCCACCTAATCACATAGAACTTAGGTTATTGTCTAACCCTATCGCTATTTATATAGCTTATATTTGAAAAAAATGAAATGGGGCCCCCGGCCCCAGAGGTATGGATAT